GTTACAAAGTCGCCCCTTTCTCGCTGAACTTTGGTTTTCTGACCGATAGAGGCCGGTAGAGGACTGTGAAAGAAAAGTTGTCCCCCAGGATGGACTTCACCGCGCAGCCCAAGCCTGCCGCTGCCCTCTGTGGCGTCGTGAGTGCGGACGGGAAGATCGCCTACCCCCCCGGAGTGAAGGAGATCACCGACAAGATCACCACCGACGAGATGATCAAGCGACTGAAGGTCAGTGAGCGTCCGCACGCGCGCTCCGCACCGCGGTCGCCCGGCGGCGGCGGCGGCCTTCTCCCAGGGCAGTACTGCCCTGCTGGGCCTCGCTCTAGTTCACCTACCAAGTTCTGAAAGATACTTGTTTCGTCTTTTCTCCTCCCCTTCTGAAGAGTATTCTATCTCTCATGCATACATGAGTAAAATCTGTGGGGACCTAACTATTATGGGAAACTGAAAAAGTGTGATTTTTTTAAATCTTGCTGTTTTATAAGCATAAGAACTCATGTGCTTTTAAAGGTTTCTTTTTCGGTGGATATTCTGTTTAATGGGAATACTGTTTAGTAGCGTGCAGCCTTAGATGTAGGCTGTTTTCATTTTTTCTTAAGTTGCCACGGTTTTCTAATATCCAGAAGCTTAATTATGTATAGTGTGGTTAAACTTTGACAGAAGGTATTGATTTTTCAATATTCAGGCTTAAAATGAGATGATTAAATTCAGGTTTGAGAAAGAGCAGGAGGCTCTTTTCAGGAGGCTTCAAGTTAGCCTAAGCATGGTGGCCCTGAGGTGAAGACTGTAAGTTGGTCAGCTTTTTACTTTTCCTTGCACAGACAGAAATGGTAGTGAGAGCCTTCCAGATGCTTGCCATTGTAACTGTGGGATAATCTTGAAGCATCAGTTCTCAGTTAGGTGGTCTTTGACTCTCAAGAGATGTTGGGAGGTAATGCCAGAGACATTTTGGTTGTTATGGTTTGGGTAGGTAAAGTACCAGCGGCAGTGGGAATAGAGACAAGGAATGATTGAAGTGTTTCAGAGTGAGAATCACTGGGAGGTGAAAAAAGCAACAAAGTTGACTATGTTTCTACTTTGGACGACTTGATAAAATGTATTTTTAGGGATTGATTTTATTTTTGCTCCTTTGCTCTTAGAACTTAACATGGTAACTAATGTGTACAACATTACCTTTTAAAGTATTCCTATAGTTTGCAAAATTAATTAGATTTTGCAATTTGTTGCTTTTTTTGGAAAGAAAGACATTCCTTCGTTAAAACAGAGTTTTTCAGCAGGCCTGGTGGCACACACCTGTAATGCCAGGCTGAGGCAGGAGGATCATCATGAGCTTGAGGCCAGCCTGAACTGCTTAGTGAAACCTTGTCTCAAAAAGACCAAAAATAAATAAATAAATAAAATTGAAACCTTGAACTCTAGTAGTGAATAATATAGTATGAAAAATGGAAAATTATGAGTCCATATGTACGTGTTCTAACTGGCAGTGGGTTGAATATCAGAAGTACTGTTAACCATAAAATGGACATATAGGGAATCAGCAATGGTTGTTATATATTGTTATAAAAAAATAAAAAAATAAAAAATGGTCATATAACAAAGTCTAGGATGAGCATTGGTTTAGACTATTTATGAATTCTTTTTGGAAATTAAAACCAACATTTTAACCAGTTTGAATGTCCTACTGCCAAAATTTTGCTGCTCTTTTGATTGTATATTTCTTCTACCTTCCTTTCTGTATGTTTTGCATAGTATTTAGGAATTCCTTCTTAGTTAAATATTACTGTATAATTGGTAATGTAAGGGTATGTGTGTGGTGATGGGATAAAACCCAGGACTGAATGCTAAGCATGCATTCTTTCGCTGAGCCACATGCTCAGCTCTTTTTTTTTTTTATTTTAAAGAGAAAAGAACAAAAACAAAACAACACAAAAATAAAAAATAATACAGAATTTCAAAAAAAGATGATAGGAAATTATGCTTTATTTTTTTTTTTATTTTAAAGAATAAAAGAAGGATAACATAATAATAGGGGGGACTTAGCAAATTAAGATGATAGGAAATTAACAATGGTTATTGTATTACATATTGTTATCTTGGCCCTTTTTCTGTTGTCGTTTTTTTTTTTTTTTTTTTTTTTTTTGTACCAGCAATTGAACTCAGAACCTTGTGCTTGCCAGGCAGGTGCTTGTGCCACTAAGCTATATCCCTAGCCCAGCCCTTATTTTTTGAAATGCACTTTTAATCATATTTTACAATTTTTGACATACACACAAACACAGGGGATCTAGATCCGGTGGTACTCTATTGCTAAGTTACAATCCTAGCCCTTCATAGTTTTGTTTTTGGTTTGGGTTTTTTTTTTTCCAGTTTTTTTTTCCTTTATAGTTTTTGAGACAAAGTCTTGCTAAGTTGCCCAGCCTGGCCTTGAACTTGTGGTCCTCCTGCCTCAGCTTCCTAAGAGGTTAGGATTACAGGCTTTCCTGAGGATCTGCTTGTCTGGAACTTGATGTTTTTGGTTTTTTGAGACAGAGTCTTGCTGTGTAATTCAGGCTGGCCTTGGGGCTGGGGATTTAGCTCAGTGGCACAGCACCTGCGTGGCAAGCTCAAGGTTGTGAGTTTGATTCCAGTACCGGAAAAGAAACACCCCACCTCAAAAAAAAAAGGCTGGCCTCAAATTCTACAATCCTCCTGTCTTAACCTCCTGAGTGCTGGGATTACCATTGTGCCACCATGCCCCACTGTTGGTTGATTCTTAATGGAAGTCTCTTAAATTCCCTATTAGATACTTATTTGTTCATATTACAGTTGTACTGTTACATTTATTATCTGCTTTGTCTCCTCATCTTTTCTGAAAGCTTCATGAATATAGGTGCTATGTCTTTTTTTTCATATTTGTAGTCTCCTAGTGCCAAGATGAATACGGACATGTGGTTTTCTACTTTTTTTTTGAGAAAGGGTCTCGCTGTGCAGTTCAGGCTGAACTTGAACTCACTTTGTAGCCCAGGCTGGCCTCAAACTCGCAACGATCCTCCTGCCTCAGCCTCCCAAGTGCTGGGATTACAGGTGTGCACCACCATGCCCGGCTGGTTCTTTACTTTTTAAATTGGCTATATAGATTAGTGGGTTTCATTTTTGCAGGTTTGTACTTGCACATAAAACACTGATCATTTTTATTCCTCACCACCCTCTTACCCTGATCACGCCCTGCAGTTTTACATTTTTGGGCGGGTAGTTGCAATCCATATATATAATTTTTTCTTTAAGAATAGGAGGAATTTATTGAGAGAAAGAAAGCTTCTGTCTAAGAAGGACAGAAGGGGGCCTGGAAAGTGGGTTGCCCCAATCTATATATTTTGATCTTAAAAACTTTGGGTTTATTTTTGTTGTTGTTTTTGTTTTTGTTTTTTGAGACTGGGTCTCACCATGTAACCTAGGTAGGCCCCGAACTCAGCCTCCCGATTGCTGGCCTGGTTTTTTGTTTTGTTTGTTTTGAGACAGAGTCTTGATGTACAGTTTAGGCTGCCCTCAAACTCGG